GTGTGTGTGTGTGTGTGTGTGTGTGTGTGTGTGTGTTGGGGCCGTGGAAGGTGGGGGACGGCAAGTCTTGCTCCAGCCTGGTTTCCGAGCCCCAGTGCTGTTTCCGGTCTCCTGCCTGATCTGGGATTCGGTCGAGACGCAGGCTGGCTGCAAGGGAGCCATGCACACTGGAGGCACGTGAATAAAGGCCAGGTGCCCGGGGACAGCGGTGGAGGCCACAGCAGGGATCTGAGCGGTTTCTCCAAACCTCAGGGGCCTAGGGTCCTAAGAGCACCCGCTGAAGAACAGCAGGTGTTGGGACAGCGCAGGGTATTCAGGGTGAAGTTCACTCTCCCCGGCCTGCAGGATCAGGCCCCCTGCCCCCCTGGAGCTACCTCAACCTGCCTCCGAGTCTTTTAATGGCACGCCAGCTCCTGCACAGGGCCCCTTTTCTGTTTGGAACTCCCTTCCCCGTCTGGTTTCCCAGGCTAACTTACCCTCGTCCCCGAGGACTCTGTCTCTTCCTGGGAGCTCTCCTGGATGGTCCAGACTGGGGTCGGTCCCCTCCCTGACGTTACTCACCTCGCCCGAAACGGAGCTTGGCACTATGTGCCAGATAAATATTTGTTGAATGAACGAGTGGATGGACGGGTGGACGGACGGATGCTGGACCCTGGCAAATCGCCGTCCCCCTTCCCTTGTTTTCTTCCCAGGGCCACTGAGATTTGCCTCTGTCTGCCTTCCCCCAGGGCTCGACTGACCACACCGGTGAACCCGGCGTGCCCCCGGTCCTGGCAGCCGGACGGCTGATGCATGCAAAGTGGACATCCCCTTGCCCAGCCGCCTGACCACCCTGGCGCGGCCGAATCCAAAAGCTAATGACATTATTGTGCAGAGACACAATGTCTGTGGGCATTTGCTGACCCGGGCTTTGGTGTGGGCTTAACCCAGCATTCTCGTCCTGCTTTCTGTGGGGACGCAGCGATCACCCGTCTCGGCACCGGCACTCCTGGGGAAGGTATAAATGCCACCTCCCGCCGGCTAGGCTTCACGGGAGCTCTCGGAGGCTGGCGTCACTGGTAAGAATGCCTCTCTCGCTTGCCTTGCCTTTTTCTCTCATCCTTATCCCCTGTTGGAAAGTGTGGGAGACCTGGGTTCCAATCCAGGTGCCACCCCCTTTCTGACAAGAGGACCTTGGGCAAAGACTTCACTGCTGTAAGCCTCAGCCTTCTCTTCTGTTAAATGGGGAGAGGGGTCGTCAAACCTCCCTTGTCAGAGGTGACACAGGCGCGTGGTCCGGCACGGTGCCTGGCACACAGGCTCCTCTATTAATGTCAACCAGTCCATCAGCGTCCTTGCGTCGCTAGTGACTGGGGGGGAGAATCCGAGGGTTTGTTAGTGGAAGGAATCAAACCAGCGAAGGCCCAGCATCGTTTCGAAGGCGGCGAGCCAGTGCTCCCCAAATCCGCAGACATTCCCGGGCACCTGCTATGTGTCCAGCCTTGGGGAGCGCTTAGTGGCCAGGAAGCAGCTGGGGATCTCTGAGAGCTTCCAGCGACAGGTGATTCCAAGCCACTAAAGCTTGGTGGAAATGACCCTCATGATGCCATAACTGCTGCCATTTACAGAACGCTGGCTGTATCCCGGACCCCGCTGCCCAGGGGTCAAGTCGTCACAACCTGTTCACAGATATCGTCGGGCGCCATGACTGTCCCCACTTTGCAGAACAGGAAATTGAGGCCCACGTTGGCAGCACCCGAGTTGACCTGATTGAGCTTAACCTTCAGTGCGAGGCGGTCAACGACCGGGGGCTGCATGGCGGGGCCTCTGGCCGTGTGACAGGTGCACAGGGCTGGTTACTTAGGAGAACAGAGCGGGCTTGGCCCCCAAGCTGCTTATTTGCAGTTCTTCTCTGTGGGGGACATCCTGGCCTGGGCTTGAGTGTGGAAGGGGCTTCTGGAAGGCTGGGTGTCTTCTCTGGAGAAGGAGTTCAGGTGTCTCCTGTTCACTGGAAACACGCAGGCTGGGGTCACTGCTCCTCCTGCGGGAAAGGGGAAGAGAGTGCCAATTTTCCAGACATTCTGGAAAACATTTTCTGACGTTCTCACCAGGGAAGAAATCTTCCCTGCTGCTGCCTATCACAGTGCCTGAGTTTCTACCATTATGCTCACTTCTTCGCCTTCTCATAGCATGAGTCCATCACAGATATGGGCGCTCATGGGGAGTGGGGGAAGGTCAGCAGCAGAGGGGCATTCTGGGTACTGGGTGCCCGGGGGGAGGGGGTCTTGAGGACGAAGTCGGGGTGAGGGCCTGGGGTTACAGGAGACTTTGTGAGTGGGGTTTGTGGCCCGCACTTTGCTTTTGATCGGGAACTTTCTGCACGATATGGATGGGGCTGCATTCTGTGTGGCTCCCTTTGTCCGGAGCTGAATGACGGGGACCCACCTGGGGCCCCGCTTGAAGCCCCAGTTTATCACCGCTTTCTTGGCAGACCTCGATTTCCCCTCCGGAGCAGTCCTGGGCACCAAGAAATGAAGCTAAGGATGGGAAGTCAGACAGCCACTTGTGGACCCTGCTGCTCTGGGACATCCTGAGACAGGGATACCAGAAGGCTTGAGGGCCGGAGTGGAGGGGCCCCGAGGCACCCAGGGGAGAAAGCAGAGGGCCCAGAGAGGTCCTCACTGCCGCTTCCCACATATCTTCCAGGTCTTTCCTGCACAGGACCAACCACCATGGCCTCAGACCACCAGACCCAAGCGGGCAAGCCACAGCCCCCTCAACTTGCTGTGGGTGTCGGCGCGGGGAGGGTGGGGGGGCATGCAGAACTCCTCCTCCAGACTCAGTTTCCCTTCTGTAAAGTCCAAGTGGGTGTCCTCCTTCCTGAAGCTCCTGCTCTCTGCCCCTGCCCCTCTCTGGGCTCCAGTCCCCCCACTCGCACAAGGGGGCAGTGATTCTGACGCACCCCCCCCCCCCTCACTTCAGCCTCCCGCCCCTGCACCAGCCCACGACCAGCCAGGATTCCTGACACCAGCTTCCGGCTCTGGAGACTTACGTTTCTCTGCCTCACCCCGTACCCCGTACCCCATTGCCCACAGGGGCTCCCCAGAGCTGGGGCGGACCCACAGTCCCGTGCGAGAGGGGGCTTGTGAACTGAAGGTGAGGTGGGATTCCTGACCTGCTGTGTGACTCGGGCCAGTCACTTGACCTCTCTGAGCCTCAGTTCCCACCTTTGTAAATTGGGGAGAATCGGAATCACGGGGCAAGGTGGCTGTGAAGAGGCAAAGGACACCAGCTCGGCCTGGCCTGCAGTGTCCATCTAAGACCAGCTATCACTGCCTGCTTTGCCCCCTCATCCTTCTCGCCCTCCTAGGGTCCAATGAGGGGAGACTCATCACACCCAGTCTGCACCCAAACCCCCACCAGCCACCATTCCCCTGACTGCCTCTGCCGGGCTCCCTCCCATGGTCCCCTGCTTCAGGGACCCTGGGCAAGGGGTCCACCCGGGCACTGCCCTTTTGTCTGACATGTGGCCTCTCCGGCCAGGGAAGCTTGAGTTCAGAGAGTCGGGATGAATGAGGAAAGGAGGTGTTAGCTTGAGGCGGTCAGGGAGGCCTCTCTGAGGAGGTGACACGGGAGGGGAGACCCGGGTCACCGGCCACATGCGTCGGGGTGGGGGTCGGGGAGAACATTCCAGGCAGAGGACACAGCGAGCACAAAGGCCCAGAGGTGAGACCGAGCTGCATGAGTCTGAGGAGGAGCACGAAGGCCTGTGCAAGCTGTTTAGAGCTGCACTGGCCCACAGACGTAGAAATCGAGCCCCCATGCCATTTAGCATTTCCCGTAGCCACGGTAAGAAGGTACAAAGGAGCCAAAGAAATTAGTTTGCGTATTCTATTTTATTAAACGCAATAGGCCCTAACGTATAATAAATAGAAAAATCATGAGAAAGCCCTTTGGCACTCTTTCTTGACTATCCTAAACCTTCAAAATCTGATGTGTCACCTTCTGTGACAGTGCATCTTCATTGGGACGGCCTGAGTGCGTCCCTCAGACTTAGGTGGCCAATGAATGGCTGCAGCACTGGCCTGCACACATTTATTTATTTATAATGTTTACTTTTGAGTGAGAGAGTGCGTGAGCAGGGGAGGGGCAGGAAGAGAGAGAGACAGAGAGAGAGAGACAGAGACAGAGACAGGATCCCCGACGCGGGGCTCGAACTCATGAACCGCGAGATCATGACGTGAGCCGAAGTCGAACGTTTCACCGACTGAGCCACCCCGGCGCCCCCGGACAGCGCACATTTAAAGGATTAGATATCGCGTAAGATGTCAGCATCCGTGTGTGGATACATAGCAAGAACAGTCATGGTGACAATACTGAGCTTCCAGGCCGTCTGGGGCCGTTCGAATACACGGAGAGGCTGCCCTCCCTGGTCCTCCTCCTTGTCTCCCAGGCCAGGGTGATGATACGTTGGCTCCTAATGTCCCTGCTCCTGCTTCTTCTCGGTAACCCTGCAGAGTGCCCAGCCTCCCCCATTTTACAGACAGGCCAGTTGAGGCGGGAAGCAACCCAGTTGCTTGCTGGGGTTGCCCAGCTGGATACGCAACAGGGGTGACATCAGAGCCCGTGTCTCCTGACCCTTCCGTGGTCGAGTCAGTGACCATAAAGGCTGAACTGAGCCCATGGAATTTGTCTCTGAGCCCCGCCGGGCCTCCCTGCCCTGCCTTTATCTAGCTAATCCCCGGCCTGGGAGAGAGGGATGTGTTTACACAGCCAGTGCTGACCATGTAGATTGTGCAGCTGCCCTTCCCAGGAGCCCGCTGCCCTGAACCCGCCTCTCCACCCGGGGCGGGGTGGGGGCAGCTCCCTGGGGACGTGTGGCTGCAAACGCGCTCCGGAATCGTGCAAGGTGGCAGCTGCGAGGCCGTGGGGGAGGGGGGGCGCCTTCATCTTGCAGAGATTGTGCCTCCCTCATGGGGAGCCTGCTGGCCCCCTTCCCCAGGCTGATGAGAGCCCCCTTAAGGAGGGAAGGCCCCCTAAGAAGTGTCCCGGGGGAGGAGACCTGCAGAGCCCGTGGGGGCTTAAAGAAAAGGCACAGGTATGCGGGGTCTTAGGGGCCAAACGGGGTCAGGTGTGTTGGTGGTGCCGGCCCGGCTCTAGCAGGAGCAGGAGACAGCCCTGCCTATCCTGGGAGCTCGTTAGGGATGCAGAATCTGGGGCCTCACCCCCAAGACGTGCTGCCCCGGAAACCGCATTTTGTCAAGGTCCCAGGTGCCTTGTGAGCGCGTTGGCTCGCAAAGCGCTGCCCTTAACGGAAACGGCACCAGACAAACTTGGACTCCAGTTTCCACTCTGCCACTTGCCTGCCTGGGATCCGCAGGTTGTCCCTTCGTTTTCAGGGTTCTGCCTCCCCCTCCCCCACAGAGCAGATACTGCGAGCTCACCGTTGTGCTTCTCTGAGCCCTTCCAGCAACCCCGTGAGGTAGGCGCTGTCACTTCCCATTTTACAGATGGGGCAGCCGAGGCTCAGCGAGGTGAAATAGGGGCTCAGGAAGGTCTCACAGCTGGCAGGTGCAGGACCGTCTGGCTTTCGCGTTGGGTCTGTGACTCCCGAAAGCGGAGCCCGTCAGGATCCCTCGAGGCTCCCTGAGCCCCCTCCCCACCCCCAAAGCCCTGCTTCGGTCCTCCGCATCGTGACGGGTCCCACCCTCTCCTCCTGTCACAGATCATCATCTTTGAGCAAGAGAACTTCCAGGGCCACTCGCACGAGCTCAGCGGGCCCTGCCCCAACCTGAAGGAGACTGGCGTGGAGAAGGCAGGCTCCGTCCTGGTGCAGGCTGGACCGTATGTGCCTGGGTGGGGTGCGGGAGGGGGGCTCGCCCGGTGGGAGCTGCCAGGGTGAGGCATATGGAGCTGGGGGGACCTGCCCTCCCCCACTGTGCTCTTAGACCCTGAAATTTGGGGCAGCCTATGGAGAGAGTTTGTGCTTTGGGGTCACAGAGAACTGGATTCAAATCCCAGCTCGATCACTTTCAGGCTGTGTGACCTTGGACCAAGAACTTCCCTCTCTGAGGCTTGGCTTCCTCCTCCGTAGGATAAGAGGAACCACGCTGAGGGGGAAGGAAAAGAACTCATAGGCAACTCCTGACACGGAGGCCAGGCACCTCCTCGAGGTGGGGAGGTAAACACAGTCTCTCTCATGGGCACAGCTGCCCGTCTGTGGCTCCCGGAGCATCTGCACTCTCCTGGCGGTTTAAAGCTAGACGTCCAGCCCTGCTTTCACCGTGCCCTTCCCAAATTCTGGCCACGCCGGATGTCAGCAGATTCACCGGCACACTTGGGGGCCGGCAGCCTTGGGTCCCTGACCCCGGAGAGGAGGGCTGGTAGGATCTGATTCTGCCCTGCTCAGGTCACAGAGCTAAACACAGCCTGCAGGGGACTCTCTCTGTGGGTCCTTGACCACTCCTTCTCTGCAAGAGCCTCAGGAATCGGGGGTGGCCACTGGTGACCCAAGAGGTCAGTGATTCTGGAGGGGCTGGGGGTCCTACGTGACCCACACCCCAACTCAGGGTTCTCAGGGGATTCTGCAGAGTTCAACAAATGCCACCCAAGTCAGGATCTGCCGGAAGAATGTCCCTGCCCGGTCGCCCTTGTCCAACACGCTCTGGGCGTCTGTGCGCCCCAGGAGCGCGTCTTCCTGGACGAGGGAGGTTTTGACCATTTAAGCACTGCATCTGATTCTCAGTTGCCCCCCCCTTTTTTTTTTCGCATTTGGATGGAAGAATTTCTCAAACAGACTTTACACTCCCCTGCTGTCTTTTTCAAAAAAAATACCAAACTTTTGGTATTTTTATTAATGACCCGTTTACTGTTCAAAATTAAGTTCTGGATCGCTGAGGTGATTCTGCTCTTGGACTGGCGGTGTCTGGATTTTGATGGGTGAGCTGGGCAAGTGTGAGCCATCCCCCCCCCCCCCCCCCCACCCAGGGGGCTCGAGAGACTAAGCCAGGGTCCTGCCAGAGGAAGCCTGGGGTGGCTCGACCTCCCCTCTCTCTGTCTCCACTGCAGCTGGGTGGGCTACGAACAAGCCAACTGCAAGGGTGAGCAGTTTGTGTTCGAGAAGGGCGAGTACCCCCGCTGGGACTCATGGACCAGCAGTCGGAGGACGGACTCCCTCAGCTCCCTGAGGCCCATCAAAGTGGTGAGCCTCCCGTCACTTCCTGCTTCTTCTCTCTGCTGCTTGTGGCCAGGGCTTTAGGGACCAGGAGGGAGCCTTCGCCTCCAGCATCGTGACCCTTCTAATGCGCAGGGTGCGCTTCCTGGCTGTGTGACCTGCTAGAAGCCGTTCGCCTCCCTGGGCCTCAGTTTTCCCATCTGTAAAATGGGGATATTTGGCTCTGCGGCCCTGAGATTCCCACATGCCCAGCCTGAGAGTTGCCACATTGCACAACCCCAGGGGGCTCCGTTCACAAGACCTCAAAATGCTCCGGCGGGGGTGCCGCTCACATTCTATTCTGTACAGACGGTGCTTTCCGGGGTTGGGAACGCATCACAGAGCAATTGCGCAATAAACAGTAGCCATCGTAAACATGAAAAGAAATCCTGGGACTGCTGTGGAGGAAAAGGTAGTTTAGCTCCTGTTTGTAACTCGTGCCGGTGGGGCCTTCTGGTGCATCTCTGAACCTGATTCTTTACGAGAATGTGAGCTCTTAGGGAGGACACCGGGCCCAGCAATGCTCAGTTACACTCCCAAGCCTCCCCAGCACAGTCTAGTACCCCCCAGAGCTTGATGGAAGGTAGGAGAACATTGCATCCCATGGACCCGGGTTCCTACCTTGGCTCTGGTGCTCCCAGCTGTGTGACCTTGGGCAAGCTGCTTTACCTCTCTGAGCCCCGGGTTTTCTCATCTGCCAGAGAGCCTAAGAGTATTTAAAGGATTAAAGGGGATGACTAAGGAAAACGTCACAGGAACAGGAAGATGGGAAGAGATGTGGCGACGAAGGAAAGCCAAAACATGTCAAGTGCCTTTTTGGGGCACCACCCGCCTGTGTCCCTGTATGTGTCGATTGTGGCTGCCTTTTTTTTTTTTTTTTTTTT